ACACCATGTGTGCCTTTCCAATGCACAAAACGTATGTTGGTAAAATCAGATGTTCAGTGCTTGTATTTATGTATAAACAGTCTGCATCTGCTGCAGTGCCTGCACTGTTTTTAGAGCTTTGTGAAAAGTTAGAAGTTGCTCTTCTAGACTTTTGCAGACCTGAAAACATTGATATATCATGGATCCAAAATAATTTTGTAAAAATTTCAGCCACATTTTTGGCTTTTAAATAAACTAGAAAAAGGAATTTTGTGGGAGCAAGGAGGGGATGTAATGAAGGAAAATACAGTGGGGAGAAACTGAATGACTCTGAGGAGAAAGTGGAAGAAAAAAGATTTGTTTACCTTATCAAAATAAAGACCAAATATAAAAGGGCTCTAAGGTTAAACAAACTATCTGGAGCTTAGATTTGCTTCTGAGGAAGTAACTTGAAGATAAGAATGGTGGTTCTATAGATATAGAAAGGGCTCTGCAGTTACAGATGTGTAGAAATCATGTACCCATAAATAGAGTTCTTTGGCTTAATAAAAAGGGCATGTTTAAAAATGGAAAAGAAATCTGTTTCCAGACATCAGATCGTGTCTACAGTCTAGGGTTTCCTTACAGCATTTACTCAGGGCATGCTATGCACAGTGTGTGTGTTAGTAGCTCTATGCCTTTTTAAGAATCTGTTCAGGTTCTGGTTTACATGGGATATTCCCAATTCCTGTCTCTACTTCAGGAGAGAGTCCATAGATCTGTTTTGCATGGGTACAAAAGGAGAGGCTCATAACATCTGAATGAGCAAAGTTGTGTGAGGCCTTGGCACTTGCAGAAGGAGATACTATGGTGCTTATGATGTTTTCCATCCCTGCTGTCCTAATTTTTTTCTCATTCCCCTTTATTCCTGCTCTTCCCTTTGAAAAGTAACCTGTATATTTTTCATTCTTTATTACACTATCTCAGTTACTGTGTTCCTCTGTTCTTCTCCCACTTTGTTATCTAGTTTTGCCTCCCAAAGCTGTGAGGATATGTAAGATGTTACAGGATGCTTTGAGGAGGATACGGGATACTGTGAGGAGAGGGTAATGTCAAGAGGGAATGTCTTGAAGCTGGACAATTCAGAAAAGATGGTCATGTTCTCTTTTTGTTCTAGTTGAGCTTTGCTACCTTGCTGACCACAGGTGCTTGATAGATACAATTCTGTAGAGAAGCATTAACTTGTTAGTGTTAGACCATATGTCGTTCTTAACTGATAACTAAATAATCAGGGGTACCAGCCATACATCTCTACCAATAATTAGTTAAACAAAGGAGTAAGCCTCTGGCTTGGTGGCTATCTGCAGTGTCATAGGTTATATCAATACAATGAAACTATTTTTAATTACCTCCCTATTTTTAATACACACAGGTAGTCTGCTTATCTGTGCCCTGTGCTCAGGCATTTGTCAAGGAAAATATCACCTTTCCTGGGTCAAAATTGTAGCAGGGGTGATGGTAAGGGTCTAAATCTGTGGGATAGTGTGAGACAAAATTCAGGCCCAATGCCTGAATTTTGGGTAGGGAGGTAGTCAGATTCTCAGATGTTTAAGGTGCAGTATGAGGAAGGAGCCCGAGCACTGTTCCTTCATTGGGACCTTACTTTCACATTTGTGATTCAAACCTTGCTGTTGTGTGCAGCTTCTTTGGAGATTACTAGTTCAATTCTTTGCCTCTGGGATATAGTTCATAGAAGTGTAGTTTTCCCTGGAATACCATGAAAGGGTGAGAGTTTGCAGGTGTACTATAAGCAAGAGGCTCAAGGCAAGAACAAGCAAGTAAATTTCTAAACATGCAGAATTGCTTAATAAATGCAGCTTTCACTTAATTATCCATTCTTTCACCAGAGGAAAATACTGAACACGTGTTGGGTCTGAGCAGTTGGCTGCTGCTGAGCAGCACTCCACAGCATCAGCCCTGTCTCTCCAACTTCAGCCTGGCACCAGTAGGCTTAGGGTGGGCAAGGTGTTTTGAGGGGACATAACCAGGACAGCTAGACAAAAGGGATTCCATAATGTATGATGTCTGCTCAGCAGTGAAAGTTAAGACAAAAGAAGTGAGGGGGTGTTTATTATTATGAGGTTTGTCCTCCAGAGCAATCACTGCATGCTCAAGCCCTACTTCCTTGGAAATGGCTGGACATTGCTTTTGGTGGGAAGTTGAGCATAAATCTTTTGTTTTTCTTTGCTTCTGCAAGTGGCCTTTGCTTTTGTTTTATTAAACTGTTTTTGTCTTGGCCAGCGGGTTTTTCTCCATCTTGTTTCTACCCTTGGTCCTGCTGAGGGGGGAAGTGAAAAGAGTGGTGTGATTGGGCACCTGACATCTGTCCAAGGTCAACCCACCTCACCACACTACTCCAGTACTGGCTCACTTTCTTTTTGGAAGTCCTCACACTCTGTGTACATTTAAGAGAGCAATGTTCTTCATTGAGGCTACTATGATTTCATTTATATGAGAAGGACAAAAATGATCCAGTTGCCAAGTTCCTTTTCTTCTGTAAATCATCAGAGCCTCTGTCAGTTGATTTCTTGATGAGGCCCTCATCAGACGATCAGATTTCTGCCAATTGACTTTGTTTCCAAGGCAACCACTCTCTTGACAAGCCAGTTCCCTTCAATAGTAGATGACTTATTTTTTATAATAAGTTGATCATATTTTAACTGCATTGTTCTTAATAAAGTACTTCTATTTAAATTTCAATCCTAAATGAAAATGTAAAGATAACAAAGCGAAAGTCTGTGTAACTAAAATGAAGTTGACAGAGTGGTAAAGACACGTAAAGGGATTTTATAATCTCTCACAGAATTCCTAAATTGTACATATTCCCTAAAGATAAGCCTGCCCATGAACCATTCCCAATTATATAGGTATTCAGTGTATTCATTTTCTGAAAATAATGGAAGTTTGGGTGGCTTATGAGGATGTTTCCCAAAAGCATAGATGGTTCTACTGCTGGTATTCACAGAACAATTTGCTTTCCTACTAATTTAAGTCTCTAAACTGGTGATACTGGTGTTGATACTGCTGTTTAAAAAACAACAGATTCCAGCCCAACTTCTTTTCATGCACAATTGACATGATCTTACTCTACATCTCACACATATGGTGTTTCTCTCTGGTAAGTTAACTCATCCTTTGCTTCAATGGCTTTTTATATTAATTTGCTTTTGCTTCCAACAAAACTCATAGGATTGTCTTTGTTGAGTTTCTTGGATTCATCCTGGATTTACATTTTCAGGGAAGAGGCACAGAGAGGATACAGTTACAAAACACTTTCTCTGAGGAAAGCGAATTCTAACATCTGCATTCATATAGGCATGTAGTATCATCATGCCTACACACACAATTCTGAAGGTACTGATTTCTGAAGGTAGCTATGTTTACTATACGGTGACTGAAGTTTTTCTCTTGCTTATCTAGTATGTTTTCAAGTTGTAGTCTTGGTTTCAGAGATGGCTGAAACTTGTAGAAATGTTTCTGAAACTTTTAAAGTTTGTAGGACAAGACATTCACAGAAATGGAATCAAATTTTTGTTTCTACCAATACATTGAGCTGTCTGTAATGTGTGCACTAAGCTCCTTCTTTCTTAGACATGTCAGACAATTTTAGAGAGGCAAACACTTGTCTTTTGTATTTTATAAAGTAGTGCTTCCCCAGAGGAGTAGAAATTGCTATATGTGAGTTGAAATAATTTCAAGATAGTTTGTGTAAGCATTTGGATTTTGGAGCACTTACAGCACAAATCCTCATGTTGTAAAAATAAAGCACTGTTCATTCTTAGCTGTAATGAAGCAACTGGTCCTCTGTGATGTGATTGCTTGGGAAATTTCTCACTGACCACAGTGAGCTATCCAGTCCTTTTTGCAGGGAACTGATCTTGCAAGAGCTTTGTCTTTTATTTTGTCTCCATCTGTTGATAGGGTAACTTACATCTTCTGTCTGGACTGACAGACAGGGTTTAGGCACCAATCCAGCGAACTACTTAAACAACAGTTTAGTTTTAAGCCTTAGAATAACTAAATTACCTGGTTAAAAAAAAAAATGAAATAACATTGCTAGCACAATACTGTCGTCTTTAGAATGGAGTTTGGGAGATTTGGTTGTATTGGTACTTTAAATGGAATAAGAAGTGTTAAATTAAACATACATTGAGAATAGAAAACATAGATTAAGACTTTCCTCTTTAGTACAGGAGAAAAGATTCCAGTTTGATAGCAGGGAGTCTGCATCTTGTATATTTCTTTTAGATCAGTGCTGCTTGAGTGTGTAGCTAGGCAAACTATTTATTTAGAATAAATAAATAAATTTATTATAGAGGTATGTAGTAGTTTCCTCTGTCCAAAGAAAGACTGACCATAAAATCAGCAGGAATTATGGCATTACTTTGTAAAACAATAGAAATGGCAACATACCTGTTGTTGTACTGACAGAACTAGTGATCACTACACAGTTAGCAATAATTCACTGGCACACCCAGAAATTCTAATATATACTTTAAAGGTTACTCAGGTGTTTGTTTCTTTGAAAGATCTTCTCATTAAATATTATAAAAGTCATAATCCTGACAGAAAAAAAAAAACCTGTCCTTGTGAATGGATGAACTTACATTTTTAAGCTAGTTGAGTTTTAGATTAATTTAATGAAGCTGATGGTAAAATAGAAATCGTCTCTTTCTGAATTTAGTTTGGTTCATCTTTCATTTTATTGAGCTAGCAGAAGTGCTTCTTTTTTGTGTTCCATAATGGTGACCTCTTGTGGTGTGAATATGTCAGTATTTCTGAAGGAGCTTTCTGTAATACATATGGGAGGAGGTTGTATTTACATGTTACTTTTAATGAACAGCTAACTTACTAACTTAGTAAAATAACGTCATCTTTTGCAATTAGTTATTAATATGGACAACTCAATGCATGTGAAAGAGCAAGCATTTTGAGCACAGTTTTCTGATAATGCTTTTGTGTGTTCATACTGCGTCTTTTAGTGACCAGATAGAAGAGCCTGGCAAAAAGTCATCACAGCTGAGGACTTCAGGCCAGAAGAGAAGAGTAACAGGTACAAGGGATTTAATCTCCATTCAAAAAATGTGAAATGCAGTCAAATAGAATTAATGTAATTCTTGTGATTTGCCAGTATTATTCTTTATTATTCACTGAACAATATTTTTTGGTTTTCTAGATATATTGGATTTTCTTACTGTTCTTAGTGAAGAGAAACAATATTCAAGAGATCTGCACTCTAAATATCTCTTGGTATTTTCTATTTGCTTTTCCCATATCTAGGCTTAAGAATCTGCCAATCCATTAATACCTTATTTGCCCATCACTTTTTGTAATCTGTCACAGTTGCACAGAAACTAATAAAATTATGCCAGCCTGTATTATCTGAAGAAACAGATTTTGGATTGCTCTGTAGGGATGCATTTTGTTAATTTTACATAACAGACTTTAATAATATTTCCTCATAGCTGGCACATTTCATACATCACAAGTGCGTATTTGAGAGTCTGGTATGGAAACCTGAACTTTCCACTGTGCTATTATTGTGCTTTATTACTTTTTTTCTGGAAATGAGAAAGTCTATTATTCTAGAACATTCTGGCAAAAGCTGTACTGTGCTCTGCTCTTATTTCTTTCTGAGGAGCAGAGAGTATTTACCATGTCATGCAAGTTAATACACTTACAAGCCTTTTAATTTGTTTGTGCTATTTTATTGGTGTTACTGAAAATATAAAGTGTGTTTTTAGGATTGTTTCTTTTTAAGTCTACTTTTTTAACATTATGTGGCTTCCTTAGTTTGTGCCTGCTTCATCTTTTATCCCACAGTAAAGAAGGGGATGGCACCAGGAATTCTCCATCATTTCTTCTCTACAATGGGATTCTGGGTGGAGTATTCATTTACAAATGATTTCTATTTTGTGATATGAATTGTGTTTATGCTTTGACATTTTAGAGAGGAGGTAGACTCTTTTAATATTGATCTATTCGTGGCCACTCAGTATTCAGTGCAAAGGCTAAACATTATAAGTCAGGCAGTACTCAGCTTTTCAAAGCTCAGTGTTGCTAAGGCTCTTGTATTTACATGCTAAAAACAGCAACCAATAAATGTAGACTGATTAGTGATTTTTTTTTTGACCAGAATGCAAAGCAGCAGTTAAGACCTATGAAAAACGGAGACAACCAACTTGAACTTGCTGCATTTTTTTGCCTTGACTATTTTTTCTGTTGAATTGTGGTTTGCTCTATTAGAAAGTTCTGGACAGCTTCTGCAATATTTTAAATGTAGCTAGTACCCTAACTTTTCATTTGCAGCTTAAAAAATCTCCCAGGACTGAGACACGATTTAGTAATGTTGCTTTACTTTAGAGTCGTGTATTGTCTGGTCATTCTCACTTGTTTAGTAAAAGCTGATTATCTTCTTTTTTATTTAGGTATAAGAGATAATTAAATTTAGATATAAGGGATACCTTATTTAGATATAAGGTATAATTATTTTTTTTTAATTATGCCATTATGACTTTCAGTTTGCTGTATTCTTCTGATGAATATGAGACAAGTGAAGCAGAGCAGTACAAAAAAGCATCTGTTCTTTTCATTCTGAACTGAAAATTAAATGGATTTGGTAATTTTTTTTAAAGTGAGAAGTTTGTCTCTATCTGCAAATGCATGCCCAAAGTTTTCTATTTCTTGACTAATGAAGTTAAGTATATGTGTAGTTAAAAAGTCAGTTCCATCTTTCAGTTTAGGAGAGGAAGCTACAGATAGAAAATAAAAGAAATAATTGAGTCAATATGTGGGTTTTGTGGCAGGAAGGAAGTGTGCACACTACTGTAGTGTTCTTATTTCAGCTGTACTTTTACATTATCCAGAGCAGAATTTTCACTTCATTGCAAACACTGCATAGTGTTTTATGAATTGTGCCACTCATCAATTTAAATAAGATGGTCAGCTCATTTGATCTTGAAAATAAAAATGCCATGCAAAATAATAAGAAGAATAATATTTGCTAATAACATGCACTTTTATATATATATATATAAACATTTATATATACTTTTATATATGCATATATATATGTATATATACATATATGTATATATATACACATATATATACATATAAACTTTTATATATAAATATATATATATGTATATATCAAATATAGTGTATTACTTTTTAATCTTTTGAAATAGGTATATTTGATAGATCAATTTTGTGTAAGATGTAGGTAGACAGTTAATATAGACCAAAAAACTAGTCTTTTGGTTATTTTCTAAAGAGCAAGTTTTTAAAATACGAAGTTTTAAATTGTTTTACTGTTCCAAGTAATACCAGTACACAGTCACTGTTTTAAGGTCTGAGATACTGTTCTTGTGATGCAAACCTCTTATTATTGGTGTTCTCAGGTAGTATAGTAGTTTTTGTGTTCCTTCATATTTCTGTCAGGAATTCACATTGTCCTTTAAATGCAAGAGCTAATAATGAACAACAGGAGACATTTTCAGACAAATCCATGACTTAAAGAAATGTGTATAATCCAGTCTTAATGGCTTTCTTATTTAGTAGAGTTGTGTGGCTTTTATTTCCCTATTTAAAAAACCTCAAAGTAAAAACAAATCAACAAACCAGACCCTGTTTTTATAACAACTTTGCTTGCCTGCAAGATAAAGAGCTTAACCCAATCTTGAACTCCAAACATATGCCTACATGCACCTTGTAAGCAACTGTTAGATCCTTGGCATCTTGAGTTTCGCAGAAGCTCTGGCTCTCCATCTGTAGTGACCCAATGGCCAAGGCCAGAATTTTGTCACTTCACAAAATACTAGGTGGAGGTGTAAAGGATGTTCAGCATGTCAGAATAATTCCCACTGATACTGTATCCATATGAAAGCGAATCCTTGATTTCATTTTTTAATAAACTGTGTTTTCACCATCTTCCTTGTCCAATCTGAAAACAGATCCATGCTCCCAGTCTTGTTCCCAGAAAAATTCTAGTCCACTGGTTTTCAGGTCTGCCAACTTTTGCCTTGATGTCTGTGATACAATTTTTTTTTGTATTTTCTTTTTGAAGCCAAGTAAAAAAAGCTTAAATATTTTTTAAAACTCCTTTTGTGAAGTAAACAAGGTTTCTGATAATGGAAAGTAGCTTTTCCTGAGTCACGGGGGTATTTGCCTGAGAGCGGCCAAGAACAGTGGGAGTTGGTTTTCTTCAAGATTTCTGACATTTTTTTTGGAGGCAAAATATCTTTCACATATCTATAGTTTACTACTCATTTCAGGGGTTGCTGTGTTACAAACTGCTGAATGCAATGAAGAATAGGAATAAACATACATTTTATAAAAGTTTAGTCATGAAGTTTGCAAAACTAATTGCATGAAGTAGTTAGAATTGCTAACAGGATGTAATAACTAACAGGACTTTTTCCCTGACTGACCAGTCAGTTAATCAAGCTTAGTGTTATATCATGCATATGTACTAGATAAAATTCTGCAATCCTAGAGGATTATCTATAGTATGCATTTTTTTTGAACAAATAATAAGCTGTCACGTGAACACAGAGCTGAGAAGTAGTAGGACACTTTGATGTTTAAGTAGTCATTACCCTCCAATTCAGTGATCAAATGAACCATTAGTGTCAGCAAACAAAAGCTTTACAATACAGCTTTACGTATCAAACCACTTATCCATCTAGTTTTGTTTGAAATGTTCGTTTTTGAGAACATGTAAATAGAAAGAAAATCTTTAATTCATAGAATAACCCAGAAGATAGCAAAATGTGACATTTTTAGATTTTTTTCTGACTAATGAATAAAGTATTTGTAGTTATTTATTATTGTAGAAAGTGAAACCTTCACTGAATGTGTGCTTTTGTTTTGAATGTATTTTGAAGGCTTAACAGATGAAACAAGAATAAATGAATGGGAAGAGGAAGATTTCTTTTGGCATACAAGGATTCTACCAATTCTGCGTGAACTGGAAAAAAGTGGGTAACAGTGCTCTGAAAGGGTGTGTTTTCTGTACTGCTTCTTGCAGGAAGCATGGGACTCATTTTTGTTTACTACAAAATAATAACAGTAATTGGAGTATGTGGCCTTTTATGCTTCCATATGTTCAGTGACTTCACAGTGTAAAACTGGCCTGGGCAGTCTGGTGGCCCTGCTTGAGCACAGGGGTTGTACCAGATGACTTTCAGAGGTCATTTCCAACTTCACCCATTCTGTGATCCTGTAAAAAACCCCAGAACTGGTTTAGTGTGAACCTTGTCTGATTAATTACCTTATTTTAGACAACATAGCTCTGCAAGCTTAGCAGTCAGCGTTGAGCTAATAATTTTAAGAATAAGTACTGCACAATTCACTGCTTTAACCATAGACTGTATTGAAGGTCTCAATCCATTTTAAAAAACTAAGGAAATCTTAATGAAAATTTCCACTTGTGATTAAAGTGTTAGATGTGCCAGAAAAGTATGTAATGACTCAGAATACTGAAGCAAAATTGAGTAAATTGAGTATAGTTTGAAAGGTTAAACTCTGGAATCTGTTTTACATTGAAAAAATTGTTCAGTTGCCTTCTGTAGACACTGTATTTATTTGAATGATGAGAATATAGAAAGTAGATTTGTTTTTACAAGTAATTCTGTTTTACAGGATCTTTAGCAGTTTTTTTGATAGCATGGTACAGATTAGAACTTTTTTTGCACAGTTTTACAGATGTTCATGAGTATGAAACACCTGTACACTGCTAAGTGATTCCCAATATTTGTAATTGTTTAAAAAAGACAGTATTCTCATTCCCACGTCTGTCACTGATGTATAGAAAACAGTGATCAGGAAATTTGAAAACAACTATGTAACTTCACATTTTCCTTGCTTAATGCCAAGATTGTCAAATATCAGCCACTGAGTTACAGTTTTGCATGGTGAGGTGTTCTTTATTTGTAAGCAAAATAAAATTTAGAGGTAAAATCTAATCATGTCTTTCCCTTGTCATGAATGTAGCTAAGGAAAATCGGTTTTCATGCCCCTTTTCCTCAGTCTTCACTTGATTTGGTTAGTGTATTGGGGTTTTTCCAGCTTTTATAAGAACCTGATTATGGCCTATTTTATCTAATGATAGCTTCTCACCAGCTGATTGAATGTAGTACTACATATATATACATTAAGACCTGAGTTTTGCTACTTCTTGAATATTAACACAAATTGTAACTGAATTGCATCATTGCCTCCTGCAACTGTGTGATATATTACTTTCTTTAGACTGTTTACTGCATAATTCTTATGAATATTAGAATTCCATAATTGAGATGCTTTGAGTGGGTCTGTTGGTAATTTAATATTTTTAAATTTTGTGTACAGTCATTTGCTTTGTACCTTTTAGCTAATTCCCTGCACATGAACCTACATCACATTTATTTCATATATTAATAGAGAAGCCTTTTTCTTCACCTTCCTGATGCAGAAGTATTTGCAGAAGCCTTTCCATGCAAAAACAAATCTGGAGTTAACCTGGAACTTATTTATTGCCTAAATTCTTCTGAATATGATGTGCTTGAGTTGTTTATAATGTGACAAAAAAACCCCCAAAGTCTCTTTTTCTAGAGGAACAAATAATTAATTTTGTTACCTTCCAATACTCAAGAGGTTAAGCTTTAAAATGCCCCATGGGATGAGTGATGAATAATTTTTGTTGTTAATTTTGATGAAATGGAGTGTAAGACCTTTCAGTTTTGGTTCCTTGCCACTCCTGTTTAACAGCTTACTGAAGCAGAGCCTTTAGAATCATGCTAAATTTTGTTAAATTTTCTTCATGATGGGAGTAGAAGTGGAATAGTCATTGTTGTTCCTTGAGTGCGATGATTGCAAATTGAGAGCTTCCAGGCACTTCTCATCCTGAGAGATCAGTCCTTGAATCTGCCTGCAGGGTAGGGGCCTCAGACATGTTTCATCGAAAGTGCTTTGCCTCCTTGAATATGACTTTATTTCAGCTGTGAAGTGCACCCTGAGTAAATGCAGAGATTATACTGCCAGTTCATGGGGCTTTGTAAGTCTCACCTTATGGACAAGGGCAAATGTAAGAACATCTTTAAAAAAATCTCACTGTTCAATTTTAAAAATAGACAAGACTTCTCCGTTTCTCTGTAAACATGTTCATGATTCCATTGTGTTGAGATGCAGTTTTTGCAATTCTGTTTTATTTTTGTATATTTTAAACAGAGTCTCAGGGACTTGAGTGAGGAACTAGATCACTTTTTTGTCAATAGGACAGCATTCCACTCAAATATGTCTTGCACTTCTACATTGAAGAGTTCTAGCAAGTTTTTACATTCACTTTTTTTAATCCCAGCAAGGTTTGATATATAAAGTCAGGTATATGGGGAGAAAAATGCTCCTTAATTATCCCTTTTACACATCTAATGTTTGGTTGAGTGCTTTGAAGAATGTTCTCAGAGACACAGTTTCCTGGTACACATTTGGTCAATCTGATTATTAAGCATCAAAGGTGAGTTTCATTTTAGCTGTAGGTATTATTTTGGCTAAATGATTTCTCATCTTGAGTCACCTTTTTTTGACAAAGAATAAAATTATTTCTGGGTATCACGTTAGCATGTGAAGACATTTATTTGGTGTCTCATTTTTGTTGTTGTGCAACCTGTTATTTATTTTGTTCTTCTGTGTCTTCATGTATTGAGATGCTCTGGATAAAGTGGCACTGATAATTAGGTTTTTTTTCTCTCCTTTCCTACACCCTTCAAGGAGAAGATAATATAGAACACCTTTGTCTAGCTTGTACCAAGCTCCATCAAGCATTGGGTGATGGAAATATGCTTGGAAAAAGATTTAAAAGAAGAAACATCCTTCTGAAGACGTTATATAAACTTGTAGACATTGATTCAGATCCACTTTCCCTGAAGCTGGCAAAGATTATTCTGGCTGTAAGTGTTTTGAAATGCTCTTTGGTAAAATGCAAAGCTCAAAATTATGAATTACAACTTGCATTTAATTTTTCATTTCATACTTGTAAACTGTGTCTAAACTAACTCTTTCCTAAGTACAGTTTGCTTCCTCAGGGATACTAGTCTGCTGTCCATCTACATCAGCACTTGTAGCTTATTTTCTGTAGAGAAGTTACATCTGGGGGAGGAAGGAGGGGCACAAAATAGAATAGTTGGTGTATGGTGGCAGGAATATTGTATAGGCATGGAAAAGACACAGTGTTCTAAACTGGGGTACATGTGCAGGGATTTAAAAAACCCAATGATTATAAAATGTACACATGGAAATGAGGCTTTGTTTTTGAATAATATCTTGATCTTGTTCTGAAAATACCAAAGTGGAGGGTTTTTTTTTGAAGGTGAGTGAATGTAAATAATCTTTTGCATTAATATTTCTGGTTAAAACTCTCAATTAAATGTTGTGCTTCAGAACTTCTTTGTTCTGCAAAGCATGTATGGACAGTCACTGGTGAAAGGATGCCCACTAACATTGTGTTGTAGGCATGTGGGTAATGTGTGTGTGTTGAGGGAGTCGTGTTCTCCTATAAGGCAGTGTAAGTTATGGTATTGAGAAGATACACTTACATACTCAGATACCACAGAGATGTTAAGTGGTACTTATTAAAAAGAAAGGTTCCTTTACAGACATTTTTCTGTGTAATCTTCCAAAAAGCATGAACCTAGAAGAAATTACCCTTGAAGTGTAGAGAAAAGGAAGAGAGATGTCATTGTATTTTTGCCACCCTTCCTTCCCTTTCACAATCTCTCATCATAAGATCATGTTTTCTGATAGCTGAGACTAAATTTCATTGTGACATGTACTGTTGTACTGGAGGTCTTTGTTGGTAGTGCCATAGATGCCAAACCACTGATTTCCATACAGAATTACTTTGTAAGGGAATTGTAGAAAAAATCCTGCAAGTTATTGTTATACTACCTGTTTATATTAATACATTAAAAGTTTAAAACTGTTATTTTAAAGCCAGCACAGTTTGCTAAATAGAGTTTAAAATACCTGAGTTTCAGGTTATTTCAGTTTCCTTTAATTCTGCATATATCTTCAGTTTGTTTTAATGTATTGTTAGGATTTAAGCTCTAATTTAATAGTTCTGTGAGAGTACAAGTGTGCCATGGTGTCTGAACTTGTAGAATGTTAGATGTGTTTTTGTATGCAGATCTTAGTTGTGATTTTATGTCTTTCAATTTCTTTGCAGATGAAAGTAGATGGAAAAAATCTTGTTAGTGTTTGCAAGCTAGCATTTAAAATTTGTAGGAATGAAAACAATTATTTCATCATTCAAAATGATACATTGTTGGGTATGTATTCTTTCTTGTCTTTAAGTTAGATGTTGAAATTCAGCAGTTAACGTTGTTTGTCTTTGAAAAAACATTTTCAGAATTAAAAATTCTGAAGAAAGACTAAAAATTGCCTGCCTAGGTCAAACTGATGGTTGGTCTAGTCCAGTATTCTGTGTCTAAGTAGTGATGAGGATGAGGATTGCTGTTTAGGGGGAGCACAGGAGCCTGTGTGTTTTCTGTGACCTGTTTACCTGGCACTACTCCAGCATCCAGAACTTTTCTGTTCTGTTAGGGACATTGGAAGGTGCATCCCTGCCTAATCCCTTTTTAGTTTCTGTGTCTTTTGTTCATTTGTTTGCCTTTTTGGATTTTCTGAATCTGTCTCCCTCTATGATGTCATAGAACAATTTCCAGAAATTCTCTGTGTGCTATTTTAAATCTATAAACTTTTCTTTATCCTCCTGCTTGTAGTTTTGCAGGATTTATAAGAGTTTGTACAGTCAGTTTACCTTTCACCTTGAGGATTTTTTAAAAGGCAGTCTTATCACATATCTCTGTCTTCTTCTTTTCAAGATTGAGGCATCTCAGCCTCTTAGCTCTTTGAGCAGATATTGTGTCATTCAGTTGTTTTAGAAGTCCTTCTCTGTACCTTCTCAAACTCCAGTGGATCCTTCTTGAGATTTATGGAACAAAACTATATATAGAATTCAAGCTGTGTCTGCACCAGATTTATAGAAATGAGGTAATGCTGACTGTGGTGTTGGCCATCATCAGAGAGGATCTTGAGAATAGTCATTGGTTTTCTTATATTTTTTTATAGCTGCTGCTTCACATTGAGCCAAAGGTTTTGCAGAACTGTCAGCAATGGCTCTAAGATATTTTGTGTTTTTAACAGTGTTTGTGTCATGCACACTCACCCACCCTTTGCAAATATGAGAAATATGAAGAAAATGAAAGTGTGCAAATGATACTCAGTATTGATTGAAAGTCATTCCTTTCATTAAAACCTTAGTGTGTTTTATCAGTGTAGGCCTTGATCTTGCAAGCAGTTATTGCATCTGTATTGGTTAAGGGATGTATGTATATTTGCTTAGTTGAGAGTGTTCATGGTCTTAAAGTTTAGCACACAGTTGTTGTCAGAAATAAAGACATGCCTTTCAGGTGGCAAGGAAAGGACTCACAGGAAACAGAACAGGATTGACTTTGGATACAGAAAAGTACAGTTTTGTAGAGATCAGCATTATACACAGCATTTGAACAAGTTGCATTTTTCTCTCATTTCCATCCTCATTCACTTTTCTTTCACTTGCTCTTCTTTCCCTGTATTTTAAAAACTAGTGAAGGAAAGAGCATTGGTAGGTGTTGTTTTATTTGTTTATTCACTCTTTGTGTTTTGGACCCACCTTGTCCCAGAAGATGATGTGACCCTGGCCTATCATCACAACTTCCCAGATCCCTGTTACAGTCACTGGGTTATAGATTCAATTTTCTTTTTTTCTCTTCTGTCCTTGTGAACTGTTTATGTGCAGTAACAGCAGGTCCAGTAGAAGAAATAAGTTAATCCTTCATCCCAGAATAGATAACTACTGTTCAAGACCCTGTTTGAAACTGTGCAGAGGAGGAAACTGAAACTGAGTTCTCACATTGCCACAACCCAAGTGATGTAATTGGTGAGGGTGGGAGTTTGGACAAGAACCTAGAGTGTGTACTTCATTCATATATATATATATATATATACACATACATATATACACACACACACCATTTCCTACAGCTTCAGTTTAATGATATAGGAAAATGTTTTTATTCAACTGGAACCGAATAGGAAGCAGAAATAAAAAAAAAAAAATGTCTCTTTGAATCAGTTATTAGAAGTTTAAAAGTATAATGTTAGTTAGGATTACTCATTTGTTTAAGATACCCCACTAAATTCAGAATGTCTCAATTTGACTGCAAAAGATACCTTGACCATGTGTTAACTGTAAATGTGAACATTTCAGATGTCTGACAGTGGTTGCACAAGGCAAAACTTCTATGTCAACTTTACCTACATAAAAAGTAAATCTAAAAAGACTATGAACAGATTTCAAATGTGAGAGTTGAATTGTGCCGTTTAGTGCTCCATTTGAGATGCTTTAAGACATTTGATTTTTAATGAAGTAGTGGGAAGTACACAAAATTCCAGGCACACACAATCACTTTTGCAAATCTTGACTGATAATTTCAATGATTCCTGCTATGTGTTTACAGCTTACATTGGTTCTTGAAGTCTAGGAGAACAAAAGTCGGGCCCATTCTCTCATTCATCAATAATTGTTTCTTGGTTTCAGTCCAAATACCCAATTTTTCTAGCCCACTTATTAGAAATGTAAGAGTTCAATCTGAGGGTGTTTTCCAGTTGCTAATCTCTTTAATGACTTGATTGTATCAAATATAAATTTTAATATTAGACTTTCTGAATGATGATTTTCCTTTTAGATTATTTGTTGCAAGTTCTGTGGAATGAAGATCTACAAACAAACCATGAAGCTCTCATCTATTGCATGGCAGCTCTAAAAGTCATGTCTGAAAAGGAAGCACTCCGTTTAAAAATGGTCAGCAAAGGAGCTATTGAAATGTTTCTGGAATTAATGAAGCAGATTAATAACATAAAAGAACATGACACATATTTCTCCAAGCTGGGCCTCTTATTAGTCCAGGTTAGCATTTACTTTTATTTCTAAAAGTATGTACTTCAAGGGCAAATTAAAAATTTAATTAGAGGAGATAAGCTAACCCTGTGTGCTACTGACAGAGTTGTACCTATATTTCAATAGACTTATTTTTGAGAAGTTAAATGAATTTGGTCAGGACCTAATGTAATTACCACAGATGTTTGTGTGTAGTTAGTTTTAAAGGCTTTAGAAATTCTGAAGTTAATAGAAATATTTTTATAAATATTTTTATACCTAATAAACCAGTTTCTCATTACTACTTTATTGTGCTGACAATATTCTGGATACTGTAGTAAACAGATAAAAATATATTCTCTATCTAAATTCTTGAAACTGAAATAATAAATACAAGCTGGTTCTGCAATACTCTAGGAGATTACAAAAATCTTTTTTATTACAAAACCAGCACATTTTATTACAAGAATAATGCATTTTAAAAATGTGTAGGGAAATACAGCTGTGTTTCTTTGACAAAATGTTTTTGAAGAACTGTAATATAAGGAAAAAGTCGTTGCAAAACCAAACACTTCTTGAATCTTTTGAAGGTGGCAGGCTCAAAATTATTTTCAAATACAAAGCACCTTGATAAATGGTGGCTATGAAAACTAATCCTTGTCCCTAAAACTTTTTAAACCCATGTATTTTAGAAACACTGTGGGATGGATATTGTATTTACCAGGGATTTGCCAGATAGATTCCTGGCATTTGTTTGGAAGTTACTGACATAATGTCTAGCAAGTGGTTGAATTGTGAACTTTCAGGTACTTCATAGGAAAATACATTGGATAATTTTCTGAGGTAGCTTTTGCACTGGGTTTGTCAGCTAATTATGCCAGATTTCTTTAATTCGCTACTAAATTATAAGCACAGGATTTTATACTTCTTGAAATTATATGAGAAAACAGATAGCCTACATCATCACATTACTATTGGTGATTTTTGTCTGATTTTTAAAATCTTAGTAATAAAACTAATCAGTTTATTTCCAGGATTTTGACTATCTGCCTGATATTCTTTACAACTTTGCAGGAATGTTTTTCTTCCATTATTTGCCTGGGATAAATTGAGGGTTTTTTTAATCAAGGGTTTAGTTTGCAAATATCTAAAAGGAAAATGTTTTATTTTATGTTTTCTTTAAAAAATCCCTCATATCTCTGCTTTTTTCAGTACAAATGGAAGTATAGCAAAACTCCTTTTGTACTGTTTGAATAGACTGTTCATAAAAAGTTCTTGAGTGTTTTGTGGAGAGGTCAGTACTGACAGCTGTCTCTTATTGAGATTGCTCTTTCACTTGTTTGTGTTCTCTTCTATAATAGTACAGATACTTCAGTTTTCTTCCACTTGTGAGAAAAATAGTGATTCCTACTTCTATGGAATTCCTGGGTGACTTTCTCATATTGGTTCCTTCACCAAATCCATGTGCACTGCTTCCTTCAAGTGAGTTATTTGATCAGTCATCACAGACAGATGAACGAGTAGTTCTGTTTTAGGGATGGTTGAAGAAAGTTTCTTCTGTGATCCATGTCTTCAGAATAAAGTGTTCATAGCATACTGCATCTTGTAGCAACAGATCAAATAGCCAGTGATGTACAGAAAGAATGCCTTCAGTTATAGAAAGCAAACTATATTGGAGGAGAAAAACACTTTGAATAGTCACAGTGGCCTCTGAAGGAAGCTCTGCTATCTCTTAACCTTGGTAACTAAGTATCCCATTTAGTTGGGACCAGCTCTTCATTCTTTATAATTGCACAATCACCAGATGGCAGTGTTATACATAATCTTGCTAGATCCTTTTTGTGGGAATAAAGTCCCTATCTGGTTTCTTCATTCTTCCACAATGTTTTTTTTTTTGTAGAAGTCATGCAATACCAGAATAAAAATGTTAGTATTATTTTTTTTCCCTTAATAGAGGGCATGAAATCAGGGTCAACTTTGATTAACTTTATGTTGCTTAAACTAAAAGTCTGTTAATATTTATACAAAATACAGTAATGCTTACTCAAAACCCACGATTTTTAAAGAGTCACTGTCAAGACTTAATAAGTATTCCCTGTTCCTTAATTGAAAATCACTTAAATGTCTTCTCCTTGAAAAATAGCATTTGTCAGCAGTTAAATTTTCTGTTTGGGTGAATTTGATCTTTCATATGGCAACATAAGGTTTAGGACTGGTGGGGGTTGCTAAAGATAATTGTTATGCATTTCTCCCTGAAACATGGGGTCTGCTTGAAGCAATCACAGTATCTCTAGAATTCAGCTGCTGTCTGGCTAGCTTCTATTATTTTTCAAACTCTTCGAGTTTCAGTTGCACATTAACTGTGTTTTATGGATATATACTTCTGTGAAGTGCTGAATGCTGTTTTCTTGCACGTTTAAGTGTATATGTTATTTTGCATTGCTTTTCCTTTCCAATCTGTCTTTGTCTAAAGGTTGCTCTTGATAGAATTTACTGCTTGAGGATTTTGAACGATCTAACTGTATCAAGCATTGAAAAATCTTACTCTCTTTTTGGAGACTTCTGTACCATCATGTATTGAATTTTTTCCTCATTATCCAATATGTAAGTCTCTTTGCTACAGTGAAAGCTCTTGTCTGCATTTGAACAACACTTTTAATATGTGGCTTATCCTTAATTTCCTTTATTGTGTCAATTGAAGCTTAGCCAGAATTCAAAAAATATCATCCTAGGCTGACTGAACATCTTGTATGTAAGCACTGAATGGAGTCACCTATCTCTATTCCATGTGACAAGAATTTTTCTAACACAACTTTTGAAAAGTAAAGTATTTGATCAGAATATATTTGTTAAAATGTATCTCCGGTATTGTGTTGATTTTTGAAGCATCATGATGTGAGAAGGAATATGCATCTGGAAGTTTCTTTTGCAGTTGTTCAGTTAAAATAATAAAAAGTCCCAGGTGTCTTCTTAAAATATGAGTGATATGAAGCAAATGGCTTCTGTAGGTTCAGATTCTCTGTATTATGAATATAGTATAAATTGCATTTTTAGTGCTGAAGTTAAATCCGTTCACATACTTTTTTCCCTCTATGCCTTGCTTCTCCATTTTGACATGTTGCACCTCCAGTTGCTCCATTACAGACCATCATGGGGTTGCTGAAGATTTGTTCTCTGCTGCCAGATTTGTTGAAGTAGGACAGCAAATTTGGAAGCTTCTGGAGAATGGACAGAATATGCATAGAGTCCTATGTGCAAAAGCTGAAACACAACATCTTAAACTGCTCTTTGTCAAGAGTTTTTCTTTAAAATTAGCAATTACATATCATTGGATAAGCAATCCAATTTAGTGATAAATTGCTTAATTTCCAGAGTTTTTGTGATAAGAAACAATTTGAACAGATAGTTTTTGTGCCTTATCAAACTCTATTCAAAACCAAATTGAAGTTAATGACTTCACTCTGAATAAGAAAACTTTGAAGAATTCCCATATCCACATAAGATTGAATGACTTCATATTCATTTTGTAGTAAATTCTGGATTAGATCAAAATTAACTTAAATGTCATGGCCTGTCTGACCTTGTCATTTGAATACTCTTGCCTTGAAAGAGAATAAAAATATTTCAAAATATGCGATAGGTGATGCATTTGTTCATCTACCAGAGTTAGATTATGCTTTAAGCTCCTTGAAATAGAACAGTCTCATCTGAAAATATTTTGGTTTCTTCAAATAGACCTGAACACTTAAGCTTTTCATTTTTATTTTGTTCATACAGTGGATTTCTTTTATCATTATTAACTTTTAATTTTTTAATTGGAATAAATCTGATTGTGTTTTAAAAGCAATTCATTTTAGTTTGCCGTTTGCAGTTATCATCAAAATATATATTATATTTTCAAGATTTAAATGTAAAGATTTATTGAAGAATTACGCAAAAAATTACTTTAACCATACACAGGGTTTCACCTAATTCCCTTGGTACATGGCTGTATACATGCAAAATCTTAAAGCATGAAAGATCTTGTGTCCCTCATAGAAGGAGGTTACATGCAGGCAAGGACCGGTGTCAGTCTTGCATTTTGCTATCCCAAACACACCATCTTGCTGCCTGCACGTTTCCTGTGTTACTTATTCTTATACCTAGCTGCAGAATGTTAACAGGCGCGCAGCCTGCCATAGGTGCTGTAGATGAGATGTGATCTGTGCTGTGCCAGTGGTTAATGAGTGTCCCACCCCCGTGTGCAGCTGACGGCCACTCTGCGCATCCTGGCCAGCTGCGCCCAGGCGCGCCGCCAGCTCAGCCCCAGCGCTGCCGTCCCCCAGCTCTGCGTGGCGCTGGAGCAGCGCAGCGGCGACAAGGACCTGTGCATCTGGATTGTCAGCGTCCTCAGGTACGTGGGAACACAGCTCTGTGTGCTGGCACGTCCCCCTCCCTCCAAGGAGGCAGGACCAAGCGCTGGCATTGGAAGATTTACGTTGAAGTCTTTTTTAAAAAGCTCTTTTAATGACAATATCTTTTAATGATATTGTATATTAATTGTGTCTCTATTAATGCTTACAGAATTGTGTAATTGTAGCCGTACAGACTTGGATTCATCATCCCCATGAAAAATATTTTGTTGTATTGTGTCATTGTTTGATCCCACTGATTTTGATTGAGTTTTTTAAAGTGACGTTTCTTATATTTTAAAGCTGTATAAATTATTAGGTATTTATTAATCCTGGTTTAGGCCACTTTCTCTTTTAATGAGAGATATTACGCAAGGAGCTGTGTATTGTGAAATAAAATACACAAGAGGGAAAATGTGACCAGTATTCATTGTTTTGAGCAATTACAGAGTGTTTGAGGAGATTAATCCCTGGGATCAGGGCTTGAGTGTGCAGATGGAAGTGCTGAAAGAATCTCAGTTTTATGAGCAGCCAACGGCTGCTTCCCGGGTTGTGCTTTTTAGAGGGAGAACAGTGTGAGTTAGTCACCACAAAGATCATTTTGTAGTCTGAATAGTTTCTCAGTCAAAAGTCTTCAGTTACCAAGCATCAGCTTGCAGTATTCAGTGCAAGATGGGCTTGCAAACAATGTAAGGATTTGGAAGAAGTTGTGAAATCGGCTGTTGGTAATTTCAGGAATAATGGGATTATAAGTGCAATTTATGAATGATGTGCTGGATGAAGTATTTGCCATTGCTGCTTTGTTACTGCACTGAGTCATGTTGCCTGTGGCTTTATGTTCAATGAGATTTTATTACAGATTTCTCCTCCTGTTCAGATGCTCCAAATTATGCATCACCTTCTCCTCTCTGGATGAGGTTGAATTGTGCTTTGAACAGTGACAACATAAGGGGCTGGCACTCCTTCCTCCCCACAGCTGAAACCAGGCAAATCTGCTCCTTTGCTGTTTGTGGTATCTGTAAAGCCTGTGAATGGCTTCCCCAGTTCCATGCTACCTTGTTCACATCTGTCTCTAGTTTTGTTCCTAAAATCAAGCTCTTGCAGTGAATATAGCACTTTGAGCATATTTAGTTCTTCTGAGGAGGGAGCATTTCTTTTACTTGGAAAATGCCATGAAAAGTGGGATAATGAGTTTGTAATTAAGTGTAATTGATACTTACACTGTAATTCTGATAAGGACATTTACTTGGTGTAGAATTCAATATGGAGAAAAAATAACTTACCTTACTTAAAATTTCCTGCCGCTTCTATTTTTTTCCTCACGATTAGAACTACATGATCCAAAAATACAAATTAGCCATAGAAATCAATTTAATTAGCTTCCTGGAAATTGCAGTCACAAAAAAAAAATAAAATATATATATATATATACACACTATGCAGGAAAGAGCTCAGATTTTAATTTTGTTTTGTCTTCTAGTAATACAGAATGATTAATGTCTCAATCAACTTTAGGCAGCTTCTTCATAGAGAATGTGTTCAATCTATTCAGATTATTCATTCAATAAGACTGTAAGTCTTCCTGCAATAAGATGTAATTGAACATCAACACAGATCTTTTGTGGTTTTGACTACATAAGAAGTAAGATGTTATCCCAGCTTGTTCTGTTATTGCATTTTTATGGTGTGACCAAAGCATGTCCAGTTCCCTGTTGTGGCAATGGGCAAGGTGAGCAGTGTAGGACTGGAGCAGCTGTTAGGAAATGTGCAGAGATAAGTGCTGCCTGCAAGGAGGCACAGTCTCTGTATTTGCTGGTGACAGATGTGTCTCTTAGCACTGTTGCTGGGCTCTGCTAGATGTGCACTAGGAAGGGACCTCACATTTCCTCTCGTCTGACTTTGCACATCATCTTGAAATTCCAATTCTCCCCTTTAGCCCTAAGAAGTGCTGGTGTTAGCATACTGTGCCCATATGGCAAGCAGGTTGGGAAGCTCCTTATGTTTGCTTCTTCCAGTAATGCACTGTGCCAAGGATAGCTGGGCTTCTGTTGTGCTCTTATATAACTGCACAGGCCTCTGCTAGAAGTCAGAGTATTGGCATTCACTTCATTTGTTGGAAAATACAGCTCTGAGAATCAAAAGTGACTTTCTAAAAAATGTTTTGGGGAAAAAAGTACTTTTGTTCATTTATTTTTTTTTTCTTTACAGCAAACTTTCTACCTACAATGACTTCTGTGCAGCTTTAGCAGACTGCTCCAGATGTTACATTGTATTTTTAGCCCTGCTAAACAAATACCAGAAGCAGCAGGTCAGTTTTTCATCTCTTGATTTTTATATATTAATCCTCTGATGTGTCTATGTATTATTGTGTATAAGCTTGTTTGCAGTGTCCTACTTTTATGCATTTACCAAATAAAAATTTTAAATGGTTGAGAGCATTTCCAAATAGTAAATAATTTTAATGAAATAATTTAGATTAGAAATTCAAAGCAATATAGTGGGCAGTTGATTAACTTGTCTATCCATGTGTAGAAACAGTCCTTTGAGTACCTAATTTTTTTTCCTAGTTTTAAGAAATATTTTTTAAAGCAAAAATCTATTTGAATATTTAATTGTTGGAAATTGCTGGGCTTCCTCCTGTCCTCCTCAGTTGCAAAAGAAGTGTGACTTTTCTAGAGCTAAGCAATGTGAAAGCAGAGGAAAATATATTCCTTGCTGTCATGTAAAAAGGGGAGATTTACTCAACCCCTTTGTGTTTAATTAGTCTGTCAGAGCCCCAGGAAAGCCGTGACCCTTGTGCCCAACCAATCTATTAGTGTCCCATTATGGGACCCTTCACTAAGCAGTCCCACTGGATCTGTTCCACTCATTTATTCAGTGTCACACACCTAGCAGAGGAACCTCCTCCTCCTTTACCCACTCTGGGCAGAGGGCAGTGCCCTTGGAGGACTGCATTAACAGTTTGCAGACTGACACTCTTCATTAATAGAATTGTGAAAGGTTAAGGTTTGAGACTTGCCAGTGATAGTAGCAGACTGCAAAAAACATTCAAATCAATATACTAATTTAAAGCAATGTACTAACAAGCTGTATATAATAATAATAATAATAATAATAATAATAATAATAATAGTAGTAATGCTGGTCTGACACAATCATTCAGCATTGTAGAGATCACATTTCTTACACAGTAGGCATCCCTATGAGGGAGAAGACAGATTCAGCTTGTTGACTAATCCCAGAAGTTGCAGTGGAGTCTTCCCCCATTTCTCCCCATTCTTGACTCATTTTTATACTATTTCTTTATGTTTAAGTGGAACTTGAGTAGCTTTGGTCATACCTCTTAGTCAGTGAGAGATTGTTGTACTGGGGGGTGGATATCTCAGGATAGTACCCGAGATAATCTTGAGATGGGGACACACATTAGTCCAAGTAGAATGATTTCACAACAGTTGCTGATTCAAGAGCAGGGCATTTTCCTTTATCTCCCTTGGTTTTCAGCTGCTGTGAGGCTTATCAACTAGAAGGTATCACTGAGTTCCCTCCTCTGCAAGGGTTTCAACACAGTGCCTGGCCATGGTGTCTCCACTCTGCTCCACCCTCTGTTGGGTCCCCATTAGTGTGTGGGTGGTCAGATATGCTGACCATGTTTCATCCAGGGAGTACAACTGTGTTTTTCCCTGTGACTTCCATACCATTGTCTTTTTAACTTTAGTCATCTTCCCATACTCTGTAACTGCATAAGATATCAAAATGTATCTCTCCTTTACCAGAGAAAACCACATGCCTGGAATACTGCATTTGGGATGTTCATGTAGAAATAAATGTTTAGACTTTGTCAAAATGCCTTGTATCATGAAGTAAAATTCTGAGTATAGTTGCTGCCAACTTTATTAGAACTCCAAGGGTGTTGCTGTATTGTCCTGCTGTATCACAGTGATCTTTTTTACATTTACTGAAGATAAAACTCAGAGCTCAGTCCAGGATCCCAATCTTACATATTGATGCATTGGTAAGAGTGGAGTGCCCTGTGTAGGGCAAATTACTCAGCCCTATTGCCAGGTAAGTTTTAAGAAGAAAATAATTTTTATCTGAAGCATAGATGTTCAAATGTGGAACAAGACTTCAAAACAGAGATTTTAATAATATTAAATTACATTAAGATCCATCTTAAAAGTAAGGAACTTTCTTGGCTGGTCAGATCTAAACTAGTTTGAGATAATTTAATTATCCTGTTCAGTTTATCCCAGGGTTAGTAATTCTTGGGGATTTATTGGAAGGAGGTCTTTTGGATTGCTATCATTGAAGGGAGTTAATGAAGGTAACTGGATTGGCTATACTGAACAATATTCTTTCTCTTGCCAAACACAAAAATAATTTGTTCCTTTCCTGTTTACCAGCATCCCTGTTTTCTATGATAATGCACATGAAAGAGGAACAAAGATTAAGTTGTTTCTCTTCTAAATATCTGCTGTAGCACATCTGATTATTTCTAGGTTCAGACTGCTCTTGCATAGCTTAGTCTTCAGAGACACTTTAGTAAAATACTATGTAAATGCTATGTAAATAACATGAAAAATGTGAAAGGCATTATATTTTCCTAGATTTATAGTTGTTCTTCCTTGTGACCATTGAATTAAAAACTCAACAAAATATGGAACCGAGATTAAGGATCTTTAATTAAGTAAAGCCTTTCTCCTAAACTTAATCTGTCATGTTAAGGGTAGCTTTTCTAGGTTCCTGAGATAATAGCTTTGTGTCATAATGAACTGTAGGTTCATATCTACCTCAAATTGTTATTATTTAGTATTCATAATTTAGCTTCTCTTTTGGCTATTATATGGTCCTAAAATGCATCTTTCTTCACAAGGTTAGCATTGCATTTTGTGTTAAATTGTCAGTTGTTTTATCAAAATACAAATGAGTAAAGAAGTAGCTTGTATATTAGAAAAAACCTTAACTATTACATTGTGTTGATTATATATGCAATGTCTTCAGAATAATTATGTCTTACTGCAGTTTTGAAACAAGCATGCAATTGTCAGTTGTCAGCTTAGTGAAGCCCTGCAGAAACAAAAAGAACATAGATAATGTAATGCACTACTTTTTCTGTAGTATGTGATAAACACTTGAGCTGTGTGGAGTGCAAATGTTTTTCCTGAGGTTTAGTTGGCACTGCTAATCTTTTTTTTTTAATGTTGACAGCTAATGAGTTACAGTATGAGCTGGTGTGTGTTGAAAATAAATGAAGTAATAACAGTATGAGTAAAATTGTCTACTGTGGGAAGAATCAAAGAGAAGGAAAAATCATCATTATAAAAGCATTAAAAATCTTCAGGACTAAAAAGTAATATGTGAAAAAAGGAAGTGTGTGTGTGTATGTGTGTTTCTGAGTTTTCAGGTTGCAGATTTTGTGGGATCAGGCTTTTTACTGGCAGTCATAGCAGTAAGAAACACAGGGGAAGAAATAGAGGAAAACTGGCATTCAGACTTTCTCAAGGGCTGTCATAGTTGTGACTTTAAAGATAATTATTAAGTACTGTGAAAGTAAAAATGGGAGCACTGGAAATAGGCTTAATGACTTGCACCCACACCACACACTGAAATCCACAGTTGCAACCCAAATAGTCTCTGTTCTTTGTTCCACACTGCAGTTATAACTGTTTTCCCTTTTTTTCTCAGCTCATTTTCTCTCTTGGGTGAAGGAGTCAGAAGAAATGGAAGAGTAATGATTCAACTCTATGAGGCAGACTTTTGGGGAAGTTGAGTTGGCAAGACTTGGTACCATGTGTCACAGTCTTAGGTGGGGAATACAGAAGACTGGAAAAGCTGAATCTTCAGGGCAGGACTGGGGAAGTCAATTGGGATTTTACACACATCTGAAGTATGCATTCATGGTTGGCTTTGGATCTTACTTGTGTGGAGTAACAAAAAAAATCCTTGGTGGTTGCCACATGCTGTCAAAACTGTCAGAAGTGTTTGTGTAATTTCTCTGTCTTACAGGATAAGCTTTGAATGCTTCTGCTTCTAGTCAGCATTGTAGACTTTTGCCCATCTCAAGAAATCTTCTAGCAGGGTTCTGTTCCACTTCCCCACATCATTATCATCTCTAAGCTTTCCAGATAAACTGCATCAAGAGTGACTTTCTCAGGCTGTGGTTAATGTCACAAGCAGGCCGTGCTTTTGGAACAGAGACATTGCCTAAGTAGGACAGTAGCTTCTGTCAATAAGTCAGGCACTACCTGAGCTTTGGTGGCATTTTGGGGCCCTGCCAGCTTCTGTGTCATGTTTTATCAGTTAGGAGTCTGTTTTCAATCTTAAGAGCACAAACACAGGGTGTGATACTAAAATTTGTATAGGAGCAATCTTTTGCCTGTTGTATAGAAAGGTCCCCTTACACCTTGGTGTTCCTCATTTTGAAATTGGGAAGCATTTTTTTAAGAATCTGACATCACTGGATGCAGTAATTGCCCGTTCAGCAAAATGATAATTACATTGGATCACATGAGCAGTTCATCCAGTCTGCTCTTGATACTCAGCAATGGTGAGATTCAGATGTCTGGAGAACAGTAACAATGGAGCAGGCTTTTATGATGCTTCCTGTGTGTACTTACCAAACCCCCAACTCTTTCCAGTTTGGAAACACCCTCAGCCAGCTGTGTATGAAATAAACCTCAGCTGACTTCTTTTCTATGAAATTCTACAGTCTCTCTTCTACCCCATATAAACTTTTAATGTCTTACAGATCCACTGACAAGGAGTTGCATAGCAAACAATTCCTTTTGCCTATTTTGAATTTTGCCTTTACTGTCTTTATTTGATGCCTTCTGGTTATTGTATTGCAGATGTGGTGAAGCCCACTGTTCATTTCACACCTCCCTTGATTTTCTAAGTGTTTATTCTACTCTCTTCAAGTTACCTCTTTTCCATGCTGAGGAGTCCTTGCTTACATAGCCCTTTCTGCTAGAGAGACTGTTCCATGCCATGGTGTATCCATGTTGCTTTTCTCATAACATTTTCCAATCCTGATTCCTGTCTCTTTTTTTGAAAGGAGGAAACCAGAACACAGCACTTAAGATGTGGCTATATCGTAGATATATGTGACTGCATAAATTTATTTCCCAATAATTCCCAATACTTTATTTGCTTTCTTGATCTGTGGTAAATAAACTCTGTCATTAACTCTGAGATTGCTCTGTAGGTAGATATGGTGGGTTTAAAAGCTGTAATTTTATACAGAAAGATATGTTTGCCTTGTTCTTTTCCATAGATCCTTTAATGTGTAAATTAATGCATTTAAATTTCATC